CAAACCAAATACAGGAGGTAACTTCATAACTAAACTAACTTGAATATATACTAGTGGGGCCAATCCTGTTTAACATCTTCATTCATGGTTTGGATAATTGGGCAGAGCATACTCTGAGCAAGTTTGCTGATGACACCAAACTAGCAGGAGTGGCTGATGACACCAGAGGGTCGTGCTGCCATCCAGAGGGTCGTGCTGCCATCCAGAGGGACCGTTACAGGCTGGAGGGCTGACAGGAACCTCATGAAGTTCAGCATGGGGAAGTGCAGCTTCCTGCACCTGGGGAGGAACAAGCCCATGCATCAACATATGCTGGGGCCACCCAGCTGGAAAGCAGCTTGGCAGAAAAGGATTCAGGGGTCCTGGTGGTCACCAAGTTGAAAGCGAGCCAGAAATGTGCCCCTGTGGCAAAGGTTAATGGTACTGTGGCCAGCATTAGATGAAGTATTGCCAGCAGGTCAAGAGAGGTTATCCTTCCCCTCTGTTCAGTGCTGGTGAGGCCATACCTGGAGTGTTGGGTCCAGTGCTGGGCTCCTCAGTACAAGAGATACACTGACGTATTGGAGAGAGTCCCGTGAAGGGCCCTGATGAAGGGACTGGAACACCCCTTCTGCGAGGAAAAGCTGAGAGAGCTGGAACTGGTCAGCTTGGAGAAGAGAAGGCTCAGTGGAGATCTCATCAATGTGTATAAATACCTGAAGGGAGGGTGCAAAAAAGGTGACGCTAAGCTCTTTTCAATGGTGCCCAGTAACAGGACCAGAAGCAATGGCACAAAATGAAACACAGGAGGGTCCATCTAAACATCAGGAAACACTTTTGCACTGTGAGGGTGACCAAGCACTGGCACAGGTTGCTCAGGGAGATTGTGGAGCCTCCATCCTTGGAGATATTCAAAAGCTGCCTGGACATGGTCCTGGGCAACTGGCTCTAGCTGGCTCTGCTTGAGCAGCAGGGTTGGATCAGATGACCTCTGGAGGTCCCTCCCAACCTCAACCATTCTGTGATTCTGTGATATAATCTTTTTGAACATACAGTTGCTAATGCAGCTACTGGAAAAGGTCCTCTTATTCTTTTGCTTGAATCGTTCTGACTATTAATCTGGTTGACAAATCAGATACCCTTCAAAATGATCTTACAAAGTGAGAATTTGACTTTCGTTGTGATAACATTTAGATGTTTTGTAAGGGAATGCTCGTTTTCCTCAAAGATCCTGTTAGTTGGAATATAATCCTGGAAAAATTCCTTGTTAAGGAAAAATTTTCAAGGGTTGAAATCTACATAGCTTTCACTTAGAATCCAAAATGGTGATTATCTCAATTCTGGAATTGGTAAATAAATGATTTCTGTAAAACCTGAGCGGAATTTGAGATTGTTCCCTCATGGGGACTTGGATTATCCAAACTGTAGCAGCCCAATGGGTGGATTAAAGTATTAATATTTTCCTGGTAGACTCAGCTTTGGATCTCAGCTCTGCTGTAGAACTCTTGTGCAGCTCATACTGCAGTGCCCGTACTGGTAGTGCAGGACATCAGTGCCTTAGTTGCCTGAATGAAAATGGGGCTAGTCTTTTCAGGACTCAGAGCTAGATATGACATACTGTGATGATCTTAGATGGCATAAGGGCAGACTGATATTGAGGACTGTGTTCACTGGAACAATTTTCAGATCTGATTCAAAAATACATGGAGGGTAGGGGGCCATGTTGGTGTCATGACTGAAAATGTGCTAGCATGAGAACAGAGTCTTACAAATAAGTGCAGAATTCTGGAGGGAGATGAAAAGAGAAACTGTGCTCTGGAAAAACACAGTGATGTCTCCTTGTGAGAGTCATATTGAAAATATTGTAAGTAAACTTCCATAAAAAAAAGATATTTAGAATTCTTACATTTGTTCCTGATGAATGACAGATGTTCCCAAAGTACCCTTAGTTTCTTCCTCATGCTCTTTTCAAGGAGTAGGAACAACTTAGTTGGACACTCTTCAAGCTGATTCTGAATGTTTCTAGGGAGAAATTAATGATTTCATCACAGATGTTTAGAGGAGGAGAAATAATTTAGAGTAACTAAATTTGCCTGTATAAAATTTTCCCTTCAGATTTGTTTTGATAAAACTGCCCACTCTTAATTTCCTAATCTCAGCATCATTTTGGTGTACGTGTTTGAACAGGTACCACATTTCAAGCAGGACATAACTGCATTTCAGTAATTATGAGAAATTATGTGTTTGTTATTTTAAAATTAAATTGTGAAACATTTAAACACAAGTATGAAAGATAATACAAATGGAAGTCATCATCTCTACTAGGTTAGCCTTGCCAAATAGATGTGCTGCTGGCAGATAGATCCGTGAAACCTTTTCAAAAGGGAGTCTATTCTGAAAAGAATGCCTCTTGTTTTATTTTGTTAACTTACATTTTAATTCTGTATAACTACCACTCCACGGTGGTGGGTGTTTTTCCCCATCAGTGGCTTAAGACTAAATTTGTTCTGTTTTTAAAAATGTAAATCAAAAGATATGACTGCTCTTTGACAGCTGTGTCATTTGGGGTCAAGCTGTGCCTGTGATTCACACTTTTAACTCTCCATGGACACTTGCTTATTCCAATACATGGGCTTTTACCTGCATCTTTCCCCTCAACCCTGGAAGCTTAGTTTTTTATCTTTTTGACAAGATAGTCAGACTGCTATGCTGCTTATAGCCAGATGCTGTTGCTGTTTTAGGGTGAGCTAGGGGATGTTTTCAGCTCTACTTTCGATATATTTCTTCTTTATCTCTGGAATATCAAAGCTCAGTCTTTAGTATTCTGCTGCTTTAAACCATAACCCATCCATGTTTGATGCCTGTAAGAAAGAAATCTCTTGGATCCTGTTTAAAGGAAGGAGGTGACCGTGTGAAAAAACGCTCAAAAGAAATGTATTTCCTTGCTCACAGGTAAATTTATGCAAAGAAGTCTTTAGACATGTGTTCTTACTAAAATCTTGCTTCTTTTGGGAAGATCTATCAATTTCCACTGGACCTATTGCCATGATCTCCAGGCTTCTTTTGAAGTTTGCTCTGCACACATGTTCTCCTCTCTCTCTTTTCACCAGGGATTTGAGCAGTTTGCTCTCTCTGGTCATGTGTTTTTGTCCTGCTTGTAGCCAGACATTTCTCATTCAGGAGCTCCTCCTTGCTTCCTCTGGATTTTTTATAATAATCTTTTGTTGGTACCCTATCTTTTTAATAGTATTTTATTCTGTTAATTTTCAGCCAACTCTCCCCTTTAATTTAATTACTTATAGTCAGGAACAAAACTGAGTCAGAGCTCGAAGTGAGAGTATTGTTATGATCTCAGGAGGAGGTAGCAACATTACCTGTTCCTGGAGATAACATGGCAGAAGCCTAGAGATGCTGATGCATACTTAGGCAAGGTACGACTGATAGATGTTCCTGGCAGAGTGACTCCTGGTGATTTTGTGTACCTGTGGCTACAATGGAGCAGGATGCTGCGTGTGGCGAGGTTTAGGATTTCCTTGTTGGTAGTGAAAATAAATGTTAGTAGTATCACATGGCCAGTGCAAGACAGCAGTTGTTCCATAAGCCTTCTGTCCAGCACCTGCAAAAACTCCAGGAAAGCAAGAGCTACTGCTTTGCTGGGAGCAGTAGATGTGCTGTCTCTTTCCTTGGTGTGAGGCAGCCACTGCTGAGTGAGTGCCAGCTGGCATTCTGAGTGCAGCTGTTTGCCCAAAACAGTGGTAATATGGTCATGTTCAATGGCAGAAAGTGGCTGTATGGCTTGACTTGGAGCGCTGAGGCAAGACGCACATGTTCATTGCAAAGAGTGAGCAATTCTCTTATTCGTTCTAATGTTCCGCACGTTTGGCTCAGCATCTGAACATTCTTTCAGTGTACCAGTCTGTAATGAAAATGCTCCAATTAAAATTTAACACTTCAGAATACAAGAAAATTAATGGTTTCTTTCCTCCCTCCCCTTAGGTGCTCATTAACAATATCTTGCTATACCTAATATTCTTCTTGTAAGCCTTTTCCAAGAAAAACTCTGTAGCAGCCAAACTGTTTCATTTTGTTGATTCACAGCTAATGTATGCTATGATCCACTAAAAAGACAGGAGGGGAAGAAGATATTGCATATATTTGTTGCATCGCCCTTGATACTGCAACTCAGGTCAGAGAGTCTCTTTCATAAAGAGCCACAGAGCACATTTACCTTGAAGATTTCTAGACTTTAAGATAGGGCAGGAAGAGAAAGAGGGGCAAGCTGTACAGAAACCACAGTGTAAGCAGAGATTGGTAGTGTCTTTGGAAAAACAAATGCTGAACAGAGTTCTCAGAAGCGCTAAACGTTTTCCTTAGCGACCAGGTGAAAACAGTTGCAACCCGGGAAATTGCTTCAACTTGCAGAGAACAAGATTCAAAGGAAATGATGTGTTGTGTAAAGCAACAATGGGAAAGGCGAGATGCTTATGAATGCTTTTTTTGGTCTCATCTAGTTGTAGTTTTCAGTATGTCAAAAGTTACCTTATCCTGGCTTTAGAAAACACCTAGTTCAAAAATCTTTTGATGATGACCACTCTGAGAGGTGAAAACTGACCCCTTTTGAATGCTGAGTCCCGTTCCAAGTATCCATTCCTTTAACTCAAAATTTCTGAGCCTTTTGGTTGTTTGATAACTTGAAACTGGTTTAGGCTAGAGGAGGAGAAATGAGTTGCCTGCAGCATGGACACTATTGTAGGGCCTTGGTATGTGTATGCAGTCTGTGCTACAGTCTTTCTGTAGCTGATAACTTTCCTTTGCTCAGAATGTTTTTACTGTAAAACCTCTCCATAATTGGGGGGTGTGGATACATGGACTATTTTTGGGGGAAATCTGCTTTCTGAAGAAAGAAGGTATTTTACGTTTACAAAGGCATTCACAGGGTACCTTTAATGATGTTTGTTGGCATAATCATGGCAGCATTGCTGTCATCTAATTCCTTATTGCTTTAATACTTCTCTCTTCAGATTCATACTTCTCTAATTAATGGACGGCCTAGTGCTGATGATCCTTCACGTGTATTGCTAGAATTTACCTCTGCTCGATTTATTCGCCTGAGATTTCAGAGGATAAGGACCCTAAATGCTGATTTAATGATGTTTGCACACAAGGATCCAAATGAAATTGATCCCATTGTTACAAGGAGGGTAAGTTCTGGCAAGACTGTAAAAATGCATGTGTGTAAGTTCTCTTACACTTGTAAATGCCGTACCTCCCTTTGTTTGCCATAGGAAGTTTTCGGAGATAATCAGTATCTGTGAAAATCTTGGTGTTAGAGAACTACCACTTCACAGAATTTTGTTAGCTTCTCTATAGCAGAAGTACAATTTTATCTTTTCTGCTTAATGGTGTTTTTAAAATACATATCATACTTCTTAACATAAGCACACAGCTCCTTTCGGTGCAAACATTTGGATGCAAATAGGTAACTAGCAAGTGGTTGCTGTTAGATAATATCCTCTTACCTCTTCTGCTGCTCAATCCTTTGCTAGCTTTAACATTTCTTGAACATTTCCTATGAGTAGGATTTCTACTAGTGGTACTATAAGTAGTAGTAGGGACTGAATGCAACACTTTTAGCCTTATTATATGATTGTTGCTAACAGTAAAAATTTTACATTGTGCTTTAGCCTAAAAGAATGTATACAGCACTCAAACTCACACCATACCCTGGTCTTCTCCCCTGTTCCTTGTGTGTGCACACCTCTATTTCTTCTTTCTGCAATATGTATTTTCTTCCTATGCTACATCTCCCTGTTTTTCTGCCGCCCAGATGTTGTGTGTTACTGTATTTTTCCTCTGATTTTTCTTTTAAGTGTTCTTAAAAGCTATTTTGGGGGATATATACCTTTCCACATTTTTTCTTTCTGCTCACTTCCTCTTGCTGTTGGTCATCTTGTTTTTCTTTTGGAAAGTTTAGGCTATCTCTATAGTAAGTCCTGTTATAAAGGGGCAGTACTGTTATTTTTGGCTTTGCTTAATATAATTTGTAAATGGTGGATGACTACAAAGAAAATTTGCTTCTTCTGTTCCCCGTTTCTGGTTTCCATTTCTTCCTCTGAATGCTGCTAGAGTGCTGCCTATTTCTTAAAGTTTGGAATATGCCATTCTGTTTGTATTAGAAACCCAGAAACCCTTCCAGCTGAGCGCAGTTATTGCAGCCTCAGTAATCATGGAAGCTGTGTGTTTACTTAAGAGTAGACATTTAATAATCTGATTCTAAGTGAACAGAAGCTCAAAATTGCATTCACATTTTAAAAATCACTGTATACTCAGAAAAACCTGGTGCAGGATGATCCACAGATTTCTCAAATCAACATAGAGCAATAACTTCTGTATGGCATCTCTCCATGAGGCTGTTCTCAAAGCAACAAGGAGAAACTGAAACTTGCCATCCTTGTCTGGCTTTCCCTGTAGAAGACATTAGACAAGCCCCTGTTTCACAAAACAGGAAACAAAGGGTAGCCACAAATGATACATTTTCTGTCTGGTAGAAGGTTAACTGTGAGTTACAAGAGTTACCATTTTTTTGATATATTTATTAATGATCTGAAAAAGAGGTTGAACACAGGAACAGCAAAATATGCAACTAGCACGTTTTTTTGGATTAGCCAATTGTTAGGATGTTACAGGACTTTTGCCAAAACATATAAAATGGACAAGATGGCATGTGAGATTCACTTTTCACAGAAGTCATAATACACGATTATAAAGGTCTTTCCATCCTTTCTGGTTAGGGCTATTAATCCCGACTGAAATAAAAATAGAAATGGTGAAATGGCAGAGCAACAGGTCAAAAGTTATTTAAATCTCAGTAATGAAGACTATTCCATAGTGATTCAGAAGGCAAATAGTGAAAAACAGTTCTTTCCACAGTCCAGTGAATGCCCAAGTAAGAACCAGCTAAGGTGATCAAAGGTGTTTCTCAGTTTTTGTTCTAGCATGTCTTCTCATCATCATGCCTTTTGCTTTTCATGTTTTCTGAAGGGAAGAAATTGTATAGCATTTGGCTTTTCATTATCCAGTGTGCATATAGCCTTTTTCTGTGCTCATGTTTGGTGTGTGCTGTGTATAAATTGACATGGCTCTTGTGACTTCAAATAAATGCAACTGTGCCAATGTATACCCTTTCTTTCACTAAGCCTGAATCTGTTGATCAAGATGCAGCTTGGATTACACTGTCTGCTATATCTGTAACAGCTAAAAAATGAAATAAAACAGGACCTGACAGTTTTGTCACCAGAAATGAATTCTGTAGTTGGACATCTGCATTTTACAATCCACTTAGCAATTCAATTTCTTTTTTGTCTTACAGTATTACTATTCTATAAAAGATATCTCTGTTGGAGGCATGTGTATATGTTCAGGCCATGCGAAGGCTTGTCCACTGGATCCAATGACCAATGTATGTATTTTTATTAATTTTTTTTAATGTACAGTATTTGTAGGGTGGAACATGATATCCCTCAGATTTGAATTTATGTCTGTTCTTCACCTAGAAGAACAGTAAGAAGCAGTGCCAGGGGGAAATAGTGGTGGCAACCAGAATAATAAACACACAATGCCAGTGAAGGCTTTCTCTGAAATGAAAGAATAGGTTTCAAATGTTTCAGTCCATATTGAAAGTTTCCTAGGAACAACAGAATTTTGGGCTATGTTGTGTAGCTGTAGAGATGAACACTAACAATCAGTCTTTCTTTTTTTTTGTTTGGTATTAGTCAAGGTGTTTCCTAAATGACTCCTAAGTATTTAGTCAATACTTGCAAAAAACTGATGGCCGTAGAATGGCACATTTACTATGTGGGAATTATTAACTGAGTGATCAGTCAAGCTACTCTAGAAGATCATGACCCGTTTATAATTTCTTCCAACTTGTAGTTTTCTTTTTACGCCATTAATAAACACATAACCAACATAATCAAACTATAGAGATGTAATTTGTTACTGATGGTCCAAATCTATACATATACATGCACACATTATCACTAATACAGAATTTCAATTTCTGCTAGTATTACTGATGTGCCAGAATGTGGGATCTCTTCAAACACTATTTACTTAAGTAGGAACTTTGTGGGATTTAGCAGAAGAGCTTATTTGTATATGACATTAAGCCATTGTGTAGGAGCTGATAAAAAAAAACCAACCCAAACTGGAAGGAATCTTATAAAGAATACGTTTATAATTCCGAACACTTTCCCTGGATCCATGCAAAAATTTTACAGAGTCTTTGGTTTAATCCTTCTAAGTCTTTTCTGTGACGATGTGTGTAGCAAATGTTGAACTGTTGTTTCAGATGGCCTCGATGATCAAGCTGCAGCATTGTCTCAGTGCCATCTGTTAGAATAGGGCCTACCTCAGAAAAGAAGTGCTGTTATTGAGATTAATACATACTACAGTTCAGATAGTTTGGCTACTACGTAAAATAAAGGCATTTTGACAAGTTTCATGGCTTGTTTTGTAGGATGACAAACATGTATTTGTTCTCTGACCAGTATAACAAATAGCATAAATGAAACAAGCCATAAGACATTTGGAGTACTTGATTTAGCTCTCCAGGGATACTCTTTAGACTAAGCCATACCGAAATAGGTGGGCTTTGGCTTATAAACATCATGACTGTAGTTTTTGGCATAGTGAATCTTTCCCCTAACATTACATAGGATAAACTTGCTTGAATTTACTGCCTTGCTTTTTCTGAAGCATTCCCTAATTTAACCTTGTTTTGCAGGATTTATGCTTTGTCCTGTGAGCCATAGAATTTCTCCAGGTTACCTTGCTGCTTTAACCTTGAGTGGCTTTGCAAGGACCACAGATAATCCCCTCCACTGAATAAAATTGGGGAGGCAATTTTTGCTCCTCATTTCTCCAAACTAGTTTCTTTTATCTTTTCCAAGCTGCTTCTGTGGCTCAGAGAATTTGGGTGTTCCCTACAGCAATATTTTTATGCTGGGGCTAAGCTGGGACTAAGGTGATCTCTGAAACGCCATTGAAAGGGTGGTCCTCTTCTGATCTCCTGTTAGTTTAAAAACTCCTGCTATCCCTCACATAGAATTAGTTATGCAGTTACAAGGTTACACAATGAGTTGACTCATCCAGTAAAAAAATGCTAAAGTTAAAAGACAATTTTTAATGGATCAGCCAACAGAATTATTTCACTCTGCAGCTGCAGCATTGCTACATCTAAGGAAGGGTAGAGACTGGCTCACGCCTAGTTTAAGCTGGCTATCAGATCAGTTTTCCTGTGACATGAAGCTGTATGTGAGGGCTACCAGCACTTTGGCTTATTTGCTGTAATGGGGAACTTTCATTCTCCCATCCTTCTTCCTTCAATCAGTTGAAATTAGATTCTTCTACGTTCTTAGATTCTTCTTAAATTCTCTGGCCACCTATCTTCCTGTTCATCATGGCAGTTTTCTTAAAATAGAGCTATAGAAGTTAAACACATTCTTTTGCCTCTCACTTGGTGAATGCAGAGTACATAAATAAATAAAAATGAGTAAACAGGAATTAAAGAGTATAGCTCTTCTTAATGTTTTCATAATTTGAACTGGAGTGCAGATTATGTACATGGACAGATTCTTCAAATCATCACATTGTGTAAATATTTGTTTTTCTTTTAAATTAGAAATCCATCTGTCAGTGTGAGCACAACACATGCGGAGAGACATGTGATCGGTGTTGTCCTGGTTTCAATCAAAAACCTTGGCATGCTGGCACTTTCCTGGTTAAGCATGAATGTGAACGTAAGTTGAAAGCAGTACAGAAGAGAAGCTTTATTGCAACTGCTGGTGAAAACCGAAATCAGGTCCTATATGATTTTGCAATTAATTTTATTGCTAACCACTTTTGTTTACGAATCAGTTGCTGTTCACTTACTTAGGCTGGTTCAAAAAAGGTAACAGAACAATTAAATGTAGAGTTGTGGTTTTATTGAACTCAGAATATTTCAGTGTAACGTGCTGGTATGGGTGGAATACTGTATAAAAAAAAGCATTATGACTTGTTTAATATTCATAATCGTGGTGAGTTTGTTTTGATAAAATAACAGGACTGTATCCTGATAAACAAAAAATCTTTTTTATAGATTCTTCATTATATTAAAGTTTAACGGCATGATTTTTGTATAATTGACACTTTTATATATTATAAAGTTCAGCCTTGCTGAAACAAAATATTTTTACATGATCAAAGTGCAATTTCAGTTTCTGTTTTTTTTTAATGGAAAAATCAATCTATCTAGTTTTACCACATGGAATGAAAACATCTTGAAGTATCACCTTCCCGCAGGGTGGGAAGTTCACTTTCAGATTTACTGTAGTAAGAATAGCTATAATTGAACTTTAACATCTGACTTCCAAAGGTCACATACCACTTCTATTTCTGCACATAGTAAAATCTAGTGCTCCATTACATGTAAGTGTTTATTCAATTGTAGGATTGCAGCTATAGTTTTATGATGAGTGATTAAAAATAAATATTAAGAAACACATATCCTCATGTTAAAAGTGGTAATTGCATATTTGTGTCCTTTAAACTTTGGTCACAGAGGTCTTTGTTTCAGTAGGGACGGTGTCTGTATGGGGAATGCATTCTGGAATGGTATCAGGGTACATTTATTTTCATGTTTAGTTTTTGAGACACTTCCTATGCCCTGTTCAAGCCTCTGTGAATTGTTGTACTTTCATGGTGGAAGCAGACCCTTGAGATCTGGTTCAAATGGCAGGTGGATGACTCCCTGCAATGCTGATGAACTTTGAATTTCTCTTCAAATGGAAAATAAAATTTGAAAGTTTTAATACCACAGGGGAAGGGAGAGGGTAAGACACCTCACTTTCACAGCAACAGATAATTAGATTAGTTCTCCTGCATGTGGACCTGAAACCTAAGAATTCAAATCTGAACTTCTCAAGAAGTTTCAAGATTGATAATCTGTTCTGACCCAGTTCTTATATGCATATGCGCAAATCAAGTATTTTTAGGATGTTTTTCAGCTTTCATGGAAGTTGTTTTGATTTACTCATACCATTCTGTTGCTTCCTCTTGTATTTTAAATTAGCTGACTGTTTCCTAAACCATATGTGTTCAACCACCAAACGGTTTCTGGACTGTCACTTCAAACAGAAAAAAAAGCCCAAAACAAAACAGGAAGAACATAATTAGACTGTATCTGCCCACTTCCATACTCCCTGAGACAAAACATTGAGAAAAAAATACAAAATACGAATTCCAGGCTGTATTTGTGACTGGACCACATTACTCTTTACAGCTAAAGTAGTAAATTAATACTTGGATGTGCTGTGAGTTACAATGTAAGTGGCACCAATGATAAAATGTTGAACAACTGTTTTGAATACCTTGGTAACAGCGTGGCATCTCCAGCCAGAAAGTGTTTGCTAAGACAGTTCCTTCTCTTTCAGCGTGCAACTGTCATGGGAAGACTGAGGAGTGTTACTATGATCAGGATGTTGCAGACAGAAATCAGAGTTTGAATGTCCATGGAGAATACATTGGGGGTGGAGTGTGTGTGAATTGCACAAGCCACACCGGTGGCATAAACTGTGAGACCTGCGTCGATGGTTACTTCAGACCTAAAGGGGTAAACGCGTGTTTGGTTGTCACTTCACTCTAATGCTCAGTGTTCAAACCATCACTTCAGCATGAGGAGTTAAGTTATTAAAAAGAGATAACACAGTTTGGACTGCCATTTTATGAAGGTTAACTTCTAATTCTGACAGTGTAGTGGTTGCTTTTCATAGCTGGATTCTGTAAAGTTAACGCTCACAGAAATATGAAAGTGAACTGTGTTGATATGAAGGAAGGCACATGAGGTGAGGGCCTCGAGCTAGTATTTCACTTTAATTTAAAGGAGGATGTGGTCCTGTAAAGAGAACTTTTGCCTCAGTAACAAATTTCAAGATTTGTTATCAAAGATCAAAGAAATACTGCTATATTTGATATTGGAGAGAGTCTGTAATTGTTATTTTTTAAATACGGTGTAGAATTAATAACCACTGAAATTTTACAGTTTCCCAATAATGCTGCATTTTCATCTTAGTTGAAGCTGTCAGAAGGTGAATCTTATATTAGGTTGCGTTGCCAGTATGGGCTGTGCCTGTGCTTTAGACAGCTACACTATTAGTGTGTGCTTAAATTCCTGATATTTTGTCTGTATAGTTTCAGTTGGGTAAATCATGGCCTTTAGTCTGATTGATTGGTTTTCAATCCTCAAACACAGAAAACATTGGCAAATAAGAATGATTACATTCTCCCTGATATACAGGTTTTAGCCTTAGAGCTTGAGAAAAGGAGTACTGATCTCTTCAACAGCAGAGCAGTTGATTTTTTCCTCTGAATCAGGTCATTGTCTTACTAATGGGGATTTCATGTATATGTCTGTGTATAGTGTATCCATAGTATGTATAGTATAATAGTTAATGCAGAACTTCTAGTTTACATTCCCAGTGTGATATTAGACCAAGGTTTAAGTTTGGTTTAAGTAACCTTTTCAAGAAAGAAAGGAAGTTGTTCCATTGTCTAATGTTCACTTTTCCTCACCACTTCTGTTGAGTTACTCACTAACTTTAGTTAGTCTTTGTAATCATGTTGTCCAGAACAACTGAACTATTTGTCAATACTACTTTAGGTGTTGAAAGCTTAAAATGTACTTCATTACGTTTATTGATTTTAATTATACAAGGGTCTGTTGTTACCTCTACACCTGTTTTTTTAGTTGAAAACATATTTGTATCTAAATCACATGTTTCTAAATAAAAATCTAAAATGTAACTTTAATGCCTAGACTGCAAGGGCTAAGTTTGGCAACTATCTCATTTTTGTTAAAAGTGCAAGCTACCTACACAGAAGTCATTCTCTCCTACTTTTTGTTTAAGAAGTAAATAAAAGTTTCCAATTATTAAACGTAAGGTTTTGTTTTGTAATCTCTTTGTTTTTATAGGTATTGCCAGATAGCCCAGATCCATGCCAGCCGTGTTCCTGTGACCCAAATGGGTCTTTACATGATATCTGTGTCAAGGACGAGAAACATGCAGAACAAGGTAAGATCCCTAAAACACACTGGTGTTAAAGCTTAAGTTCAGCAATGGTCAAAGAAAAGCTGAAACACATTTGTGATATCTCTTAAAAAAAAATCACTTTTTTTTAAATTTTACTCGTGTGAACAAAAATCCACCTGCATTCTTATGATATTTTTCTTTGGAAACTCAGATTTTATATTCCCAGATTCCCGGATGAGGCTTCTTTCAGATTCATTGCTTGCAAACTTTGGTACATTTGGAAGAATATTCCCCATGGAATATATTGGAGAATTTTGGCTTTGAAGAGCTTTCTTCTTTTACAGCAGAAATTAAAACTAGTAAAACCATAATCTTCTAATCTCTTTTCCTCTCTAAGTATACCTCAATTTGAAACCTAGAAAAAAATCTGTTTGAAAGGTGTCATATTTATGTGCCATCTATATTATTAATGTAGGATTGCAAACTGTTTACCATAGCCCTGTAAAAGCTATCTTTAGATAGAGAAGAAACTGCTTCCTTGTGCTTTGGAAACAATGGAATGCCATGTTTTTCTGGGTCTTTTGTTGAAAAATTTCTGAAAATACTGTAGGAAGATAACAACAAAACTCAAGGTCAGTTCTTAAGAGATGTTTTAATTGGGCTAATTACAATCTATTGACAAGAGATGTTGAAATAATCTTTTTTGAAATAGAGATCAATGGAACATAAAAGCAGCATAGCACAGATGCAAATGCAGGGCCCAGAGGGATAAAATCTACTGTAAAAACCAGGAACTGATTACATCAGTTCAATAAAATGATACTGATTGCTGTCACACTGGTATATATGGTGGGTTGACCTTGGCCAGCTGCAAGTGCTCACACAGCCGCTCTCTTACTGCCCTACTCAACAGGACAGGGGGAGAAAGTAAGATGAAGAAGCTCACAGGTCAAGGTAAAGACCAGGAGATTGCTTACCAATATTACTGTCATGGGCAAAACAGACTCAACTTGGGGAAAATTAATTTAACTTATTGCCACTTTAAATAGATTCAGATGGTGATAAACAAAGAGAAAAATGAAAAAACACCTTTCCCCCTGCCTCTCTTTTTATTTTTCTCCAGGCTCAACCTCCCTCCTTCATTTCCAACTCCCTTACCTCCACTGCCACTACCACAAGTGGTGCAGGGGGATGGCGAATGGGAGTTGTGATCGTAACGGTTCCTCTCTGGCGCTACTTTCTCCTTACACCTTTCCCCAGCTCCAGCGTGGGTCTTTCCCCCAGGCTGCTGTCCTTTAGGAAAAAAATCTGCTCCACCATGGAAGTTCTTTCAGAAAATATCCTTCATGGGGTCCTCCATGGTGTGCAGTGTGGATATCTGCTCCACCATGGTCTCCTCTGGGGGCTGGAGGGGAATCTCTGCTGCGGTGCCTGGAGCCCATCCTCCACCTCCTCCTCCTCTGACCTCCCCCCGACCCATCGGGCCATGGGGCTCAGCCATGCCCTGTAGTGGGAACCAGCAAGGGCAGCCCCGGCTGCTCCTGGCAGAGGCCGCCCTGAAGCCCAGCCGCTGCCAACGCCTGGGCAGGGACACCCAGTACAGTGTGTCACGGAGACACGGTAGAAGCGGAAGAAAGGATGAATCCCAAGGCTGGGAAAAACACAGCAAGACTGTGCGGTGCCAGTACCAGACCTGTGGGTGAGAGGGTGCAGGTTACAGGTGACAGACTTCATACAGTGAAGAAGCCTCGCATACTGTTAAACAGGACAACTTTTATTCAAACATTTGCCACCACTGACATTCAGTGCTTTTGTAAAATACTGAGACTGTGATTTTGAGACAGAAGAATGGTTAATTCAAAGAAACACTGTGTCTCACTTGCGTGTTAAACAGCTGCTTGGTCTCCAGGTTCCTGTTACTGCTGCAGTCTTCTTTTCACACCGTCCGTGCTGGGCACTGGTGCAGGTCGTTCCCCAGGGGCCTGGCAGCCGAAAGGCAGTTAATAGGTTGTCAGCTCTTCTCTTGTGGGAAGGAGGAAGCAAATAGATAAAGACATTTTTCCGTCTTGTTCGGTTGTCAGTAATAGTGTCCTTAGGAGCTCTCATAACATCTTATTCTTGCCCCTGAGCATTCAACAGATCTAAACCATCTCATAGTTTCTTTCTAAGTCTGCTTACTCTTTCTGAATCTGAATGCATGTTACTGTGCTTTAACACCTTTCTTCCTGTATCTCCTTCTACCTTTTTAATCTTCTGATCTTCTTTCTGGTAAATTCTTCACTCGCCTCTTTTCTCGACCTCTCTAGGACCCTTGTTTTCTTTTCTCGCTTTTTCTTTATTGTCCCCATCCGTCTAATCTAAAGATACTTAACTGTGGCTTTCTAGTAAATCAAGGAGTGTATCATGCTGCCATCTTGAAGATAACGTATGCAAAATTTGATTCTCTCTGTTTTGCCTCCTTTTACCTTTATTGGCAAGTGACCAGTCCTGCTCATCTAGCCCCAGGCATTCAAACATGTTTCACACCTCAGCAGTTCCTCCACTCCCAAGAACCAGAGAGTTCTTTCATTCTCTTCACAAAATTAAAACTCTAGTTATTTTGTCTTGACTGTAACCAGCTTCTCCTGTTCTTCCTGAAACTCAGCTTATTTGACCGCAATTGGTTAGAGGCATGTTGCTTTTGAGCTCGAGAGAGTACTCAGTCACTGTTGAATCTGCTGTTTTTAACACATGAAATATTTTTTTACCTTTATTGCTTTTTAAACTCATTGATGTCTCCTCTTTCCAACTTATTTACTGTAGAGGTTATTCTGTGTGTTAAAACTATTTCTCCTCATATCTGACAAGCGCAACAATTGTTATTTAGATAACAGCCATCATACACGGAATTTCCTCCCCGAAACAGTCCACACATTTGTTCCTGAAACCAGTTGTCTTGTGTCCTGCTGAGTCTTGGGAGTCCAGCGAGAAGTCGACAGTTGCACTATCTAGGCAGTGGCCAGAAGACTGTTGTGGTTATTTACCTATTTAAGACCACAAGAACAAAAGAAGTCAGCTCTACACAGAACTGGGCTTTGCAGCCATTCTTCCTGCAGTAGTCCTGTTCTTTGCCCCTTGTTCTTTCTGTTTGTTTGCTTTTCTTTACTTCTTGTTGTACTAAATAAGATTCCAATATATTAGGAAAACAATTTGCTTCTTGCACATTACATTTGTTTATAGTGTTTGGACCAGCAGGCCAGATTTGTGACTGTAACATCTTATTCAAGAGAAGAGAAACAATAATGCTAGTTGAAAGACAAAGCCTTTTTGGTTTTTCTTGTAAGGAAAGAGTTTTGTGGTAATGGAAGGGATAGTGTTAGAATCAAGGGCAGGTCTGGATATAATTTTTAGTATAAAACTATCCTGAATGCACATAACTTTTTGCTTTTTGGGTTTTTTCCCTCAAATTTATTTTGAATACCTGATAAAATTCTTTTTACTGTACACTGCTCACCCTGGGCAGCAGTTGAATTTGAAGCACTGGGAAGCCTTCATAAAGGAAAGGCTGAAAAGCATGATCTGTCTGAACGAATCTATCTGTTCACCTGTGAACCAGAATGAATACACACTGAGTAGGCTGAAATACATCTCAGTGTTTGCTGGCTGGTTGTTTAATGCGAAATTGTTTGCTTGGTGTGTAAGATGGGAATATGCTTCTTAAATCCGTGGTAAGTAACTGAATCAGGAAGATTAAAAACATTAAACTAAAATGCAAATATGATAATAAGGAAAATCACTGGGAATATAAAGCCATTGTGAACAGCTCTCAAGGAAAATAAAGCTGGAGGCTGTACATTCTCTGTGTGCTTGAATACTGTAGGTAAGCAACAGTTAGAATGGAAACTTGTAACAAGTACCATAATAAATGGTACATTGGTGAAGTGCAACAAGAGGATTTAAATGAGAGCATCTTGTAGTCGTCATTAGCTTTCAGTAGAAAAGGGCATAAAGGAGAAGCTTTATAGTTCACCAGGCATTGTTTCAGGAGAAAAAGAAGTATTTTTGTATATTAAACATGTATAATTTCCATTTTGATCAACCTTTTCCTCACTTGTTTCACTTGCCATTCTGAAATGAAATATTATTATACTAGCTTGTATAGTTTATTTTTGGTTTTGAATCTTCAAAAATGTTTTTCAAATATTTTTTCATAGCAAAGTTGTATGGTATGTTCATGAGCAATATAGAAAAGATAGAGCCAGAAACCTATAATAAATCATGGTATGTTTACAAACTGTGGTATTGATAAAATACATTGATAAAAATATCTCTAGATTTTGTAACTGAAAGGCAATAATTTTAAAATTGGACTTGTCCACCTATGTCCATTTCCTCATAATGATAGATAAACTTGGCTATCACTGATGCTGTGATCACTTTCAATTGTCCATACAGAAGTGAAGGTGGAATCTATGCATTCAGAACTACTCTGTACTCCAGTAATTAGGCTTTCTCAGTGAATTAGTACTCTTATGTCAAGCTGTAGTGGCTAGATTTTAACAGATAGCCATTTTACTTGGCTTTTAAGCACTTGCAAGAGTTGTGAGGTTTGGAAACTGATGGAGTTTTGTCTCACTCAGATGCTATCATACATTGAAGTTTTTTCCCTGTTGCCTCTGTATGTACAATATAATCCTAATGACAGATGTTTATTTTTGCTGAAAAACTTTTTCAGACATTGTAGAATAAATAAAGGTTCAGACATCTCCATCTTTATTCAGGCTTCATAGTACTTTGCTCAGCAAGCCATCCCACTGACTTCCATAAGATACTTTTTGGAATTTATACACAGTTTAACAGGAGTGAAAATGACGAAGACCAGTCTAGGGGTTGCAGGTTTTTCCGAGGGTCTGGTGTGTGCTTTTGCATGCCTTTTTGTTTTTGTGCAGTTTTGAAAGACTGGTAGGCTGGGAGAAAACTGACTGATAAAACTCATACTTCAAGATGACTCATCCTCTAGGATGAACTTTTAACGCCTCTATACACACCAACTTAGGACGGAAACTGATAATATTCAGATAGAAAACAGAGAAGAACAGCTTTAACAAATACACCTTCAAACAAGGCCTATGAAGTAACAGACCAAAAGCAAAAGATGTGCTTATGCTGAAATGTTAGTTCATTACAACAACGACAAAAGAAAGAACTGAAACATCTGCCCTAAATTGGAATGTAATTAGGCTGTTGACATAATAAGAACTACAGAAACCCAGTCAAAGATAACCAGTGGGACACTAATAGGAATTTGCTTACTGTGTAATTCCATGCGAGCCTAGATCTTGCAAGTGCCGTAAATGGCAGAAGGCATTGAACCAAATAAAATATACAGACTAGGCATATCAACAAGCGTAAGAGCGGGAAGAATATGTGACAGTTAGTAGTCTCTATGGCTTCCTCTCTCTGTTGTGTAGTGTGAAGTCTCTTGGTAGATGGTAGGCTTAAGGATATTCACTACTGTGTACGCTGCATAAGAAAGGAGATTGCTGGGCTGGTGACAGTGGAGTTTCCAATCCTGGTCTCTCTTCCTTAACTGCAGAGGAAGGAAAAAGCAGGAGAAAGGAAGATTCTTGATAGGGAGCTGAAAAAATGGACTGCCTGGGCGGTGAAGGAGAGACTATAGATTTTAATGAATATTTGGGAGTTGTTCCGTACTGAGACATAGAATTGAATTTGAGTTTGATGAGACTTAATTCATCAGACCTAAGAATGGGTTCTTGAAACTTTCAAGTAAGTCTGGCTCACTTCTAAAGACTTA